AATGTATATAAATACATTATTAGTTTACGATCCTATGGGGTCGCATTACTAGCTGTCTGGGGCCGCATGTGGCCTGCAGGGCAGGGGTTGGACACACCTGCTATGGACATTCCTTCAAAAGACTTCTGGATCGCCTTCAGGTTCCTCATTTTAGGCTATGGCTGTCTAGAATAAAATGTGGTCATGGGTGGTATGAAAGAAACTTTCTAAACTTTCTAAAATAATATTTCATGAAAGCAAACATGTCTATGATGAGCAGGATTATGTGGTGTGGTTTGTCATGAGGTGCTGGCTAACATTAAACTAGAAATCAAGAAATAACTCAGGAATCAACTGGCATAATTCTCTTCTTGCCCATTAAAACTCACTGTGACCTATGTCCAGTCTCACAATTTCTTGGCCTAACCTGTCTCACAAAGTTGTTTTGAATTTAGTTGAATAAATATGTGAGCAGGAAGCATTGTTAGTTAGGGACTAACAGTTAGTTAGGGACTAACATAGGGTAACCATTGAGGCCACTATAGTGATACTGCTGGAGATTAAGGCATTGGGATTGCTATGGTTTGTTTTTTTTCAGTTTAGAGACAACATTTGTATTATTTTCTTTAAAACGTTGCCAGACATTCTGTTTTTTCAGTGATTTGTTGAGGAAATTTGACTGCACAATTTCTAGAACCCCTTCCCCCAAAACTAATTAGGAATTACCCGTAGCTCATGTAATATAAGTAACAATTCCTTCCTAGAGTTATAAATAAACTTTATAATAATATAATCTTTATATAATAACAAAGGTTAATATGAATATACACCTTTTGATATCTTGAAGAGAAAAAGATATAACTAGACTTTATACTTCTACATTACATTTTAAATGATGTCTCATGAGTGTTGGCAGTTGGCACCAATTTGAAAACTACATGCCAGCAGTTCTCAATCTGCTGAGTTAAACCCCCATGTCAAGAGTTTATAAGCAACTTGGACAAGAGTCACTATTTTAAAAAACAGTCTTGATCAGACTTGTTTTGACAAAGCGGGAATGTCAAACTGATTCTGGATTTGAGTTTTCGTTTTGCCTAAGTGGACATCTACTGAATCACAGAGTCTGAAAACTTTCTGATCTACAGATTAATGTGTAATTATTAAAATTAAAAGTAGCATATTTCTTTCTTCTTCAGTTCTAAAATTAATTATTTTCATTCATGCAAAAGAAAGATTGTCACTTTGTTATTCCTTGATCCTTATAATGCACTGCATTTCAAATTCAAGTTTGTATATACTGTCATTGACAATTCAGAATAGATATGTATATAAATATTTATTAAAAGTTTTATAAAGAACATAAAGACTAACACAAACTAATCAAGAATAACAGCAGTAAAGAAAGGAAGAAAAAGGAAAGAAAAAACTGCTTCTGAGTTTGTTTGCAGCAAACATAAATACTACTACAAAATTTTCTTTTATTTCCTGATTACAAAAAAGCTATAAATTGTGCAGTTGAATTTCTTCAACAAATCACTGGAAAAACAGAATATTAGGGAACCTTTTAAAGAAACTAACACAAACTTCTCTAAACTGAAACCATAGCAATCCCAATGCCTTAATCTCCAGCAGTATCACTATAGT